AAAAAAAAAAAAAAAAAAAAGGCAACGTAAATAACCTGAGGAAAATACAAGATATTCCTCAGACGCAGCTTAATAGCTCCGATTATTAATTTAAGGGGGAGATCTCCTCCAGCCTATTGTTAGGGGGAGCAGAGGTGAGGTTAAAGAACTGGGGATAATTATTTATAATTATTTCCCCACCGCACGAAGCTTCCCGCAAGCACACGGAGACATTTTGGGTGCAAAAAAGAGTTTTTTTTTCAAACAAAACCCAATTTTTTCAAACAAAACCCAGGCGGGAATGGGAGCAGGAGGTTGCTGGAAAAAGGTTTCGAGAGACTGGAAGGAAAAAAAAACCAAGCCACGCTCAGCTGCAAATGTGTTATCTGTCTAGAAACAGACTGAGCGAGGTTGGAATTAGAGGAACTAGATATTCTGTTCCGCAGAAGTTTCTGATTAACTCCAGTCCTCGCCACACACGCGAAAAAGAATCAAAGTGAAAGAGAACTTAGCAGCTGAGCTGCAAAAGGGAGATTTGCAACCCCGAAAGCAAATAGGGAAACAAAACAACCCTCCCCTCTTCCCCTCCCCAAAAAAAAAAAATTTAAAAAAAAAAAAAATAGAGCCTCATCCTGAACGCGAACTTACAAAGTTGCCTGGATTCAACCTTTAAACCAGCTCTGCCTAAGAAACGGGAGGAAAAAAAAGAAAAAAAATCCTCAAGCCTGAAACCCCAACCAATCCAACCCGTAAGGAAAAACCTTTCCTGACAAAAGCCAAACGCTCCAGCAGGCTTAGAGGAGAGAAGAAATGCCACTTGGAAGAGGAAAAAACGAAGGAAAAGCTTCGCTTTGCCTACGAATTCGGCACGTTTCTCTCCTAGCACTGCACCTCCCCCGAGAGAGGAGACTCGACAGACAGTTTTAATTAGATATTCCCCCCCAAAAAAAAAAAAAAAAACAAAGCCCCCCGAGCCGCCCCAAACATTTCGCATGCATCTTAATGCCTGTAAGCAAGAGCAGGCAGCTAAAGTAGTGTTCTGCCCAATTGCCTTTTACCCTCAGCAACCCGGGACCAAATCCTTTTAAAATGCTCATGTAAGTTCATGATCAAAGTTAATATTTGTCACGATGGTGTGCTTTTAAAATTTCACAGACTCTAAGATACTGTGTCTGCGCCTAACATCTCCATTTATTTTTTTTTTATTTTTTTTTTTTTTTTTTTTTGTCTCAAAGAGCTTTTCCCATCGTAAAAATTCTTCTCGTTGGAAGAAAGAGCTTTGTAGGTTATAATAAAATCCTTTGAATGCTTATAAAACTCCACATAAAATTTGACCGACAAAACACACGGGCTAGTCCCTTAACCTTTTCCATTTACTGCTCTACCTACTCGAATTGCTGCTTTTGCTTCCTTCCTTGGTGACAGAAGAGGACGAAGCTGAAGACCCTGGGTTTGTGTTTTCCTCTTCATCCTCCGGATCTATACCTTGCTCTCCGCGGGATGACAGTGCTTGGGGTTGGGATTCTGTCTCCACTTTACCCTCACCCTTCTGCAGGCAACTCTCAGTCGGATTTTCAGCCCCGCAATAAGCATTTTCGAAAAAACGGTCGAAACCTTGGGGCAAGACAGTGTTTTTGTTCATGCTGGTGTAGAATCCCGTCGACGCCGGGTGGTTGGAGCTGGGGTGGTGGTGGTGGCTGTACACGCTCTCGTTTTTCATTAGCATTTCGGTCATGGTGGAAGGCGGGATGCACTCTCTATGCATCAGATCTTCTGCGGAATAACACGAGGCGTAATTGCTTCGGTGGTGCCATTTACTTGAGGGGTCTAAACCATAAGAGACCTCTCGCACGGGTTGGACTTGAGAGAGGTTGGTAGAGTAAGGGTAGGAGATTTGGCGAGAGGGGCCCTGTGGCAAGAAAGATGACACAGTTGAAAATTCAGGGACGTAATAGGTACAGCTGGGGAGGTAGAGATTAGAAGCGCAACCTGCCCTTTCTCCAAACTCTGAGCTCCTCTCCTTACGCGACTGGGAGCAGAAGTTGCCCAGGTTCACCGAGTTAAACATCTTTTCTCCTTTTTCTTGTTCCTATAGCTAGATGTTTTAGAGCCGATGTGCAGAGGGGAGAAAAAAATTTGGGAAGGCGAGATGACGCGCGATCCGTCTTAGTCGCTCCGGAGGATCCACGTGATCCAAAGTAGATATTGTCATATATCAGTTTGGAGCACTTAGATGCGTAGGAGTGGTTCACTTAGGTAAGATCTCAGAGGTTCAAACGATTGGTTTGCAAACACCGCAGAAACATTATGAAAATCAATCGCAGATTTGTATTCATTTCCCAAGGCACACCCCTCCGAGCATCCACACAGAACAACTACAAGGCTTGGCTTGGGATGTCCTCCCTTTAGCTGCAAAGAAAGGTCTCCATTTAGTCAGACAGGAAAGTTGTCACAAGGCTGTTCGTTGTCTTTTCTTTTTTTTTTTTTTTTTTGCCTTGCTTTTTTTTTTTTTTTCTACCCCCCCTTTCTTCTCTCTCTTTCTCTCCCTCTCTCTCTCTCCTTCCTCTTTGGATTCCGCTTCTGCTTTCAGCAGGGTTTGGAGATGGGGTGGGGGCGATTTGGGTTGGGGAGGAGGGGAGGGAGAGGGAGAGGGAGGGTCTAAAGGAGCTCGAACAGTATTTTTTTCCAGCCTTTCAAACAATATTTTAATTATTCCGATGCTGATCATTTATTCTCCTGCCTATTTCTAGCCTTAACCGCTGTCCTGGATAGACTGTAGGTAGCTCAATAAGGTGCAGAAGGAAGTTTTTCCAAGCTTTCCCAATAAACGGGAATGTAGAGCCATTCAACGGAGCGGCGAAAATTCCAAGTCAGTCTCTCTCCATCTCTCTATCTGGGAGCGAAGGGGTTGTGCTAATTAACAAGCTTCTAACATACGCTAATTATGTTGATCTCTATGTGCACATCAACTCTCCATCACCGCCTTGACGTGCTTTATTGGAGAATATTCCAGTTGAGCAGTGACAGGAAAGCGCGTGAAGTTTCCAAGTTGAAAGTTAAAGCAGGCCTGGCTTAATGACTTTTCCTATCGAATTAGCGATATATCAAGGAATAGAACAAATGAATTAAGGCAATGCCTAATAAATATTCCAAAAACCTGCTTTAATGTTTGCTTAAATATTTATCCCGTAAGAGAGGCATATTGAATATTTAATGCAATTGTTTATTGTCAATCAATGAATGGACTTTCAGCACCGATCTCATCATTTATTCTGCCAGCTGAATTCAAAAAGATATCCTTATTAAAGTCATTTGTCTTCCAGCCCCTTCCCCGGGAGTCTCTTGCTCCATTTGGATACGAAAAACTAGAGATAACCGAAGCGTTGTCAGATATTTTGGGGGAGTTTTTGGCAAGAATTAGGAGGTCGGGGGAAAAAAAAAAAAAAAAAAGATAAAATGGGATCAAATTCTCTTCTAGAAACCAAGTGGAAAGATGCACCTGAAAGACACGGAACTTCTGCGGTCCTGGGAGGTTATCCCAGAGCTTTTAAAGAGTCGTGAAGGACCAAAATCGCCTGCAACAATTGGGCGTTAATTGGGTTTTCACCTGGATTAGAAATCCTCTGCCTGAGGTGGGAAATGTTTCCCTGCCGGCAGAGGCAGCTGCTTCCATCTTCACATGGAAATATTGCAGCGCATCCTCTTTTTTTTCCCCTCTCCTCTTCTTTCCAGGATGCCACTGAGGCTTTTCCCCCTTTATTCTCCTTTTGAAGAAGCCCAGAAAAGGGGAGATGAAATCCAAATATTCAGTTGTCCCCGTGCAAAGCAAAACTAAACTCCATTTGGGATCTCTTTGGGCTGAATATTCCGAAGCGAACTAACACAGCAGGAGAGAGCGAGATGCGTTTCTAGAGGATTTTATCAAATCGACTCGCTGCAAATTCAAAGAATAAGGAGAGGGGGAAAAAAAGGCAAATCTGAGCTTTAGAGCACTGAGATTTAGGAGCGGAAAAAGCCTCGAGGGTCGCCGAGTGTTCGCTTTCCTCCCTGAGAAAAAATAACACAGAAACTCCCCCGAAAATAACCAATTCACCCCAAAAAAGAGCCAGAGGGTCCCCACTCTGCTCGGGGATGTCCCTCTTGGAGCTGAGCATCCCTAGGCAGCTCTTTTCTCCCTTTCTCTATCCTCTAATTATTTAATTTTATTTTCTACCATCCAACCTGCTCTTTGCTTTTTTAGCCAAAGAGGTTGTTCATTCCTAGGCGAGTGGAGAGAAATGAGGAAGAGAAAACACCTCGGGAAATAGGAGAGACTTTCCATCCCCCTCTAAGAATAGAAATATTCTCAAATTCTGTAAGGCAAGAGGAGGGAAAACAAAATAAAAAAAGGAAGAAAAAGTTGATTTTCGTGGAAGAAAACATCCCCGCAAGTGCGTAGCGAGGGGATTCAGGATGCCTGAACGAAACTACAGTGAGGATTTCAGCAAAGCTTCCCAAAATATTGTGCTTCCCAGGCTCTGTGCCTGGATTTTTATGCATTTTTTAGGAATTTTTCAAGGGAAACATGGCGTCTTCCCAGCTCAGGTTGTTCTTCTTCACTTGGAACCTTCCTCACTTAGAGCTTTTCCTCAAGCCTCTTAGTCCACACCACTTTCCCGAGCATTTCTTCTCATTATTTTTGGGATTTCCCACCCTTCCCTGGCTTTGGATTTTTCTATTTAAAGAGCCGTTCTCATAAAATCCTTTTTATAAGGGATCGGGGCGTGTGAGTGTCTCTGAATGTGTCTGTGTGGCGAGAGACAGAGATGAACACACATATAAATACATCTGTAATTGCGAAATGAGACGTGTTTGCCTCTCTAATGCACCGTTTGGCTGATGAATATATCTCTCCAATTCTATCTATAGAGATAAAAATAGAGACAAGAACTCCTTGGCTGCAGAGATGAATTTCTTCAGGTTTGTGTGAGTGTCTCTGAATGTGTCTGTGTGGCGAGAGACAGAGATGAACACACATATAAATACATCTGTAATTGCGAAATGAGACGTGTTTGCCTCTCTAATGCACCGTTTGGCTGATGAATATATCTCTCCAATTCTATCTATAGAGATAAAAATAGAGACAAGAACTCCTTGGCTGCAGAGATGAATTTCTTCAGGTTTGTAATCCTCCTTTTTTTTTTTTTTTTTTTTTTTTTTATGACTTGGACGTCGTTTTGGGCAAAACTTTTAATTAAAGTGTCAGCGAGCTTTTTAACTTGGCTTTTTATGGAGCGATATTAATACTAACTACAAACTAATAACGTTAAGCGATTGTTTATGAGTGTCATTATTTTGCTCCCCAATTCCCTCTTCTTTGCAACCTGCTTGGAGCATCTTTTCCCTCCGGTTCAAGGGGAAAAAAGGCTGGAAAATAAACAGGTTTTTAGCGTGTTTATTCCCCTTTAGATTCCATAGAAAGCTCGAAACGTGAAGCTTTACATCCAGACGAGGAATTAGAGCATCTCCTTAATAAAACAACACCCGAACAGCTCTTTAAACCCCAAACAAAGCTCACACAACCTCCTCAAAAAATAAAACCCCACACATGAGCAAACAACAAAAAAAAAAAATCCGTGTGGTATAAACCCTTCGGTTCTCCTCTAGGTGCGTGAATAATTTATTGCTCTTCGTAGGTAAATACATCTAAACCAAACCCTGGTGTCGGTTTGGGTTTTAAACCCGGTTTAAAGGGTAGGATTTGGCTGTTTCCTGCAAGGAAGCAGAGAAGAGGCAGCTGTGGAGTCACAGCACTTGAATTTGACCACCAAAGTGACCATCATAAAACGGAATGAGGCTGGCGGCTCGCATTCCTTTTTGTTGCCCCTTAAAAAAAAAAAAACAAAAAAAAAAAAAAGGGGGACAAATAACTTGAAGGCAAAACCTTTAAAACATCCAGAGCATTTCAATCCCTTCAGGTTTTTTTTTAGACCCCTTTCCACTTCCGAGAGAATGGGAAAGGTTAGAGCGTGGAGGGGAGAAATGAAGAAAAGCTGCATTTGTATCCTTGAAAAGGGGATAAAAAAAGGGCTCGGGGAACTTGAGAAGGGGCAGGAAAGAGTTGATTTTGGTGGGTTTGTGTGTTTAAGATGAAACTACGCAGCTAGAAGAATTTTTTCCCCCTTTCTTGAGCTATTTCTTAGCCAGAGGGAAGGAAAAGGATGAGGCAAACCCCAATTCCTTGTGCCTCTTCTACAATTCTACATCCAAATCCCTCAAGCTTTGTCCTGGCATCTCCCCCAGAGGTTTTTCCCCACCCAAACTATCCCAACAGAAAGAGCAAAAAGTGGCAGGATCCCAAAATTTCCACCCCTCCCAGCAAAGTTTGCCTTGCTCCGCACTCATTTCTAATGACTTTGCCTCTTCTAATGCGAACACTTAACACATTTAACAACGTTTTCAGCAGGCGAAGAAGCTCAAGGCTTGGGAGATGTGTTTTGTGTTACTCCCAGGAATTTCAAGAGGATGTTCGAGGCGTTTTCCTGACCAAAAAACTCTTGTAGCGATTGTACCAAAATCAAACCCTTGGAGTTGTGAGCTTTGGCTTGAGTTGATCTGTGTAAACATCTGAAGTAATATTTTGATTTAGGTTAATCCTGTACTTGAACTCTTCTCAATAAATCATTCCTATTTTCTTTTGCTTCCCCTCCCATTTGGGGGAGGGAAAGGGATGATATTTATTTTTTTTTTTTTTTGTTGGTTTTGCGCCTCCCACCCCCAGAATTGCAGTTATCTAAATTCATTTGTAATCTCCCAAATTCGGGCAAAAAGATTTGTGTAAGCATTGCCAGAAAGAAGTCTTTGTCCGAGCTTGTACAGTAGGAAAAACACTGACTGGAAAGGGGGAAAAAGGGGGAAAAAAAACCCAAACAGAAGGGAAGGAAAAATAGAAGAGAATAGATTTGATACCAACCTGACTTAGCACTTTACTCACTGCTCTCTCGTGATATCTACCGAGTAATTTAGACCCTGAATCCTTTCCTATTTCCACACTTTGCTTTGCCTCTTGCTTTGGGTGGGGAAATGTGG